CTAAGTTTAGAATACGTCAAATGGTGATAGAAGGACGTCATCTCACGTGTAACGTACAGCGAGTGATAGATGAATATCTTAGTTTCTAAAAATTAAATATGTTGAACAAGTTTCTTTCTAGTTATGGATATAATGTTCTTTTCCGTAATATGTTCAATGTCCGTGTATTAAAGGTCTTTTTATATACATATCTAGTATGTTTTTTACCTCTTGTTGCATTCACTTTGTATATGAAATAATAGTTTTAATGATGATTTCCTTATCTATATAAGACGACATAAGTGATCAGCAATTAGTAGAAATATAATCCAAAATTATATTATGTTTTGCAGGTTAACCCGGTATTAAAACTGGCGGAGAAACGTAATAAAGCACAATGATTAGCAGCGGGTTACATAAAATAATGGGGAATGTTCATACTCTTGGGGCATATAGATCTAAGCCTCAGATAATATGTTCCAGCAGTGTTTCCTGCAAAGCTTAAGGCATTGCATAATCACTTAACTAGTGACTAATGTATGTAAGATATTTACATATAGTGCACCTTCAAGTATGAAAGTTGTTCGCATGTCTGTTAGGGACTAACACCTTAACACACATTTCGCAACTCTTGTTTAAATTTAACACAATTCTCCATTGAAATTATATAAAACCCAGATATAACATTTGCGATCAGAAATATAAGTGTGGGTTTATATGTCAAAGTGAGACGATATTTAAAGTGAGTGGAAAGAATTAATTGGTACAAAACAAACCTGTCCCCGCTTCGTGAAAACTCAAGTTTAACAAGCATTTGACGTATATATATTTAATCATTTTGACTTTCATTTTATTGCAACATTTGTATTTTTATTGTTGTTGTTCTGTATCCAATTAACAGAAGATTTTATTTCACATAATAATATTTAAGACTCAGAATCAGTTACCTCCAACCAATGTCTAATCTCCCTAGGCAAATAAGGATTAGTGTTACAGTTGCGGGGTCACCAACCAATGAAGATTAAATACATATATATGTATACACACACACACACACATATATATATATATATATGCACCTTCAATAATGTTGTACAATGCTCATACATATTCACCAGTTCGTACAAGAATCAATTTACGTGACTAGTTATGTTATTCACATGGCGTATCAGATACTAACCTGTGTTACGAGGCGCCTACCGTGTGATCACGTGCCCTCTGGACTGTAAACTTACACATAACAGCGGGATTACAAATCAAACATGACAACTGTCGATCAATTACGCTGACATGAGAGTCAATTCAACAGCACGCTGGTATCGAGCGCTTTAAGTCCACAACAAAGCCCTCTCTTTGGTAACAGTAATATGACAATTTGCTGATTACCTTTCACTAACGCGAGGTAAAAATAATAGGAAATACGAGCAATGCTAAACAACATCGTACGGCGCGTAATGGTTATATCACGATATAGCAACTTGTTTTATTACTCAGAAGGTGACTATATGTTTATTCCAGCCCCGCTGTTCACTGCTCTCCCCTTTTCAACCTTCTTCTATATTGTTTCCTACACAGAGAGCATGAGCAGTTGTAAGGGATCATTTATCAATATGTCAGACCCTCCCGTCTCAGGCCATCCAGTGCAGCTTGCTTGAGTAAACACCCTACAAACATGATGAACGCTTGGAATTAGAGTTTAAACTTAATGGTTTCGTACATGGTTGATGCTGCATTCAGGAGAAACCGACAGACCCTAAATCACATGGTTCATTCCCTCGTATAGTAATAAATATCATTTTATTCAGCCATTTCAAAATAATATGACCCCCTTCCTACGTAGGGTACTCTGTAAGACTATAATAATTATTTGTTTTTCTTAAATAACACATTTAGTAATGAATAAAACTTTTTCTCTAAAATATTATATTAACATATTGTAAAATTTATTTTTAACATGACAATACCACTTGTCGTAAACCAAACATGCCCGGTAAAACGACTCACTTATTTGGCATTTGATATCGAAATATCTGTAAAAAGTATTCCATGTAAATAAATATAGATTTCTATTCCTAATCACTCGTTGCAGGAACAGTCAGTCCTTTCCAGAAGTCCTCATCCCGCCACGAACCACAACCAAATAGTAATTACAGTTAAATTCTATTAAGGTAAGGTTAGGATCATAATAGCTGACAACATTTGAATGGGACATAGTTTCAATAACCTAAAATAACATTTGCAATATGCTCTTATCCTGATATTGCTGTAAACATTCTATCTTAAATGTCCACCTCTCAGAACTAAGAATTTTGCCGTTTTCTTTTGAAATACCCCATTAACACTCTCAGAAATCTAGTATTTACCATTTTTTTTGCCTGAATATAATATAACTCTTTATTTCCAGCAGTCTCAGCTATGATCACTATTACGAAAAACAAATGGCCGCACAGTTCTGTAGTCACTGGAGTTTTTATGAATAGCTTAACTTCACGACAATTGTGCAATTCAAAACAACATTTTGTATGTACCTCGAGATGGTTTCACTAGACTTTAGTAACATCAGAAGTTCATATAGAAATACACAAGATGGCGATAACGAGACATTTAAAACAATACAGTGTTTTTAAAGAGAAAATTAATAGTTATATTAATAACTAGCTGGAGTACTCGTCCCCTGGACGGAAGTTATATCAATTTATGATTAACGAAAGGTTATCTTAGAAAATGAAAAGTTGCTTCCTTTATATGTAATTGTAAAAAAAAAAAAACGCCCATAAAAACTGCAAAACACAAAATGTGAAACCGCAAATTTGCATGTATCTCCCCTTGGACCCAATGGATCTCCATACCAATATTGGTGAAGATCCGTCTACATCCTGCGAAGTAGTTACTTGGACATACAGCGGACAGTACTTATGATAGTTATATAGATTTAGAGGCGACTTTTCGAATTATTAGTACATATCTTAAAGTTGAACTATAAATATTAGTTTCAAATATACGGCTAACATGGCGTTCTTTAACACTTTAAGAAGTGCATAACCAACACGATAACCAAAGATTATTTCGAAAATGAAATGTAGCAACTTTAAAACTTTTCTAGTTTCAGAGATTAAATGCTATAGTGAGGACTAAAACTTTCTGTTACATAGATCGTGTTAGTGTGCAATATTCCTATTAAAATGAACTTTTTAAAAGAAACGGTACAGACACTTTATGTTACAGACTCTGTAACATGAGAAAAAAAACAGCCATTTATATGATGCACTTTTAGTCTACATGTATGTCGCATTCCTTTACAGTACTTGGAAATACTTTGACTGGAACAATTATAGGATGTGTACCAAGATATGTTACAGCGGCTCTTTTATGACGTCCCTAATGACACAAGAGCCCATACAGCAGACTGGCAGCACTGTCTAACTATTACACGTGTTTATATCCTGGACATATTTGTCATAAAAGTGATCTTTCCAAGCACGTGTTTAAAGTTCAGAACATATAACAAGTTGGATGGATTTATTTGTCTTTCCTTTAAAATGTTTCTTAAATCAGGTAATATCACTTTCCTTAGCATACAGAGTTTTCATTCAAAGTGACATATTTCAAAGGATTTTGCTTTAGGCTCTTTTGTTTGTTTAGATGAAACCAATTTTCGAAACTAATACATGTTTACCGTTTCATTTAGGCACTTGGGAAATTTGCCTTTGTATACGTACATGTCTTAAGAATTATTTGTTTGTTTTTACCGCAAAACCACCAATAGGCTATCTGCTATCTTCGAATCCCGAATTTTAGCGTCGCAAGTTCTTAAACTAACTACTGACCCATCAGGGACCCTTATAATCGACATAAAAATCTTTATTACATTCCACGTTTGTTGGAAGCTGGAGATTTGTATTTCTGGTCAGATGATCAATTATTCAAATATAACTAATCTCTTTATTTAATCATACTATCAAATGGTCTTAATGCTTTAAGTAAATGACACTCGAGGGACTTGTTGTAATTGGTATTTAGAAATATTAACAAACATAAACACAAATCCGTACAACCATGAATCATATTAAAAGCAGAAACACGACAGTTTGCTTCACAAGCCACTATCAAGTAAAGGGTGTAGTTCCAAACCAAGTCACGTCTCAGGAGCAAAGATAAGTCGATACAGAGAAAGTCAAAGTTACACTGTTGGAGTTAAACGTGTAGAAAGGAAATTTTTCAGTAGTTAAGATTGGTTACGTAAAGTTATATTTGAGTTATACATTAAATTAATGAAATGATATTAATTCTGTGTAGGTTCTTGTTTAAACATCAATCTTTACCTTTCCCAATAACGAAATCATATTTGATGCTGTCTAACTAAATTTCACACTAAAGTTTTTTTATGAGCTGTTATATCAGATTACCACATGTAATAAAACTTTGAATTTGTAGAATACCACGAAAATATTATCGTAGCGGTAACACTGCTAAAATTTGGATTTTTCTACATTTCATGATAACAAATTAAGCGTCCAAACGTTTTGTAATTTTGTGTATTTTTATTAATTATAGTTTTTAAATGTTTATTTTTTCTCCGCTAAAAGTATAATATGACGAGTTCATATAATTGTTCATTATTACAGCTATATCGAAGACAGGATATGCTGCTTTGTGAAAGACAAAAATGTTTGACTGGGTAAGTTTGGTACCTAGTGTATCTTGTAGTTATATCTAACTAAAGTTACGAATACTGTAAGACCCGACTTGCGAACATTGACTGTTCTTGATAACAAAGCCTGAGAATAATTCTTGAAAAATGTAATATATCTGAACACTATATACATGTGATTTATCACTGCATATATGATCTCATGTCTTCTTGAAAGATATCGACCAAGATGTTTATTTACACAAATTCATCATTCTAATCTACCTTCTTGTTTAACTGTCTTCTTAATAATCCATTAACACATTGAAGAGTTAAAAAGATTTTTGTAAGCAAATACTGAAGACAAAATTAATAATTTAAGTGGACTTACCTAACACAGTAACAGCAAGCTGTGATATTTCATGAGATCATCACAACAAAAGCCCCAAGCAGCTTCACAAAGACGTCCTTAGCGGTCTGTGGGCGCCAATTAGCAGAATGGATCATGCTAGTGTTCTTCAACTGTGTTATTATATATGAACATGCAAAACAACTAACATTAACAGGATATCCTACTAATAACGCCAATTCTGTGGCCCTTTTGTAAACGTTCTACAGCCCTATTGTTCAAGCAGGAGAATATGTAGATAACGCAGCAGCGATTTAGTGCAAGCTTATTCTAACATCAAGTTAAAAGATTGCATGTAGAAACCTCCTTCTGCTCGCTTGTTACGCAACTTAACGTTCCTGTTGTCGATCCTAAACTGTTGAGCGACACTCGCGAGCAGCCGATCAAGCTTTCATCACAAGCAAATGACAGCATCTACGTTTCCATTGGCTGCAGGTGTGGTCTTCTGATAAAAGCGCCCTCCAAGTGAAGCTTTAATTACCGTTGGAGAGTGGAGAGTTCCATTGTAGGTTTAAGCTTCTCAGAAATACTACAGTTACTTTTATTATGAAAGTTTTTGCCAATATATATATAAATATGTACTAAAAATTTATTTTTTAGTCACTCAGCTCGTTCTTATAAAGAAATCGTTTAATACACACTTCCTGAAGGCTTTGGTCAAAATATTTTAGATGTATGTCTCTTTGTTATATCGGAAACCTTCATAATTTTCTTTTTAGCGCAAAGCTTTCTAAACGACCACATCAAATTACTGTTTATTTGTTTTTCACAAATGTAAGGTACAATATACGATTTACAGAATGATGAAAATTGAATGGTTTCTCCGAACATAAAAACTTCTTTATTTTCGCAGGTCCCTTAGATTTTTAAAATCTAAATTATTGAATTCTGATATCATGGCAAATATTGAAAGGTTTTGCTTTATTGCGTTGACATTTTCTGATACTGTGATAACGAGACTTTCTGATACTCTGGTAGTGAGACGTTTTGGTATTATGATAATCATAGTTTTTGATCTGTGGTATTGGAAGTTCTCAGTACTAATGTAATGAAAAAATTTAATTCTGTGATACTAAGAGTGTTTAATTCGGAGGGTTTGTATTGTTGCAGTAGTGAAAGCTTATTATCTTGTGGTTGTGAGATTTTTCTCATGATTTTGTGATCTGGAGTTTATGATACTGTGTTAAAGACGATTTGTAATACTATACTAATGAGAGGTTAAGATATTGTAGCATTAAGTTTTCTGATACTATGCTATCGGAATATATTTACACCATTATAATGATATTTATAACACTGCGATACTGAGTTTCTGAGTGCTGCGGTAATGAAAGTTTCTAATACTTAAAGTATCTGGTAGTTGGTAGTGGACGTTAAGTTACCATTGCGATGGATAATATGTAATACTGTACTTCTGGAAACTTTGTTACTACTCTACTGAGACTTTGTGATAATGTGCCACTAACAGCTTCTTATATTGTGGTAATCAAAGTTTCTGATGCTGTTATACTGAGGGTTTTCGATGGTGTGAAATTGAAAGTCTTGAGTTTCAATGTAACGATCATTTGTAATGCTATATTACTGAGAAAATCTGATACTGTGACTACAAGATACTTCGATGCTATTGTAATTAGAGTTTCTGATACTGTGATATTAAAATTATGGTTACTGTTGTTGTATTAAAAAGTATGTTTATTGTTGTAATGATGAATTGCGGTACTTTACTGCTAAGATTTTCCGATATTTTATCAATGAAAGTTTTCTATAGTGTTGCATTGAGAGTTTCTGATACTGTGGCAAAGATAGTTTCTGATAATGCTATAATCAGAGCTCGTGACACCGTGTTATTGAAACTTTTTGGTACTATTATAATGATAATTTCTTATACTGTTATAATCAGTTTCTGATACTGTTGTAATGATAGTTTCTTGATGCTGTTGTAATAAAGTTCTGTTGCTGTTGTAATAAAGTTCTGATACTATTACAATGAAAATTTCTGACAACTTTGCAATGATCATTCTGATAATGTGCTGTTGTAACTTTTGGGCACACTAGTAATGAGAATTTTCAATATTGTGAAGTTGAAGATTTCTAATTTTTTAATATTGGATAGTTTCTGATACTGTGACAAAAAGAGTTTATTATACTGCTGTAATAAGGGATTCTGATTTGATGCTATTGGAAATTTTGAGAGCTAGTGATACCTTGCTGCTGAGAGTTTCTGACACAGTAATATTAAAAATATCTAATGCTTTGGTAATGACAGTTAATGATACCTTGCTGTTGGAAGTTTTGGGTACCACTGTACTGAGAATATTTGATATTATAATTTCTTACTGAGAATGTCTGATAACGTGACAACGAGGGTTTCATATAAAGTGGCAATGAGAGTCTCTGATACAATTGTAATAATAGTACCGTATTCTGTGGTAGTGAGAGTCCCCGATACTATTTTAACGAGACTATCGTGTTCTGTGGTAGTGAGAGTCCCTGATACTATTTTAACGAGAGTATCGAGTTCTGTGGTAATATCTGTCTCTGATACTATTGTAATGAGAGTGTCGTGTTCTGTGGTAGTGAGAGTCCCTGATAATATTTTAACGAGACTATCGTGTTCTGTGGTAGTGAGAGTCCCTGATACTATTTTAACGAGACTATTGTGTTCTGCGGTAGTGAGAGTCCCTGATACTATTGTAATGAGAGAATCGTGTTCTGTGGTAATAAAAGTCTCTGATACTATTGTAATGAGAGTATTGTGTTCTGTGGTAATAAAAGTCTCTGATACTATTGTAAATGAAAGTATCGTGTTCTGTGGTAGTGAGAGTCCCTGATACTATTGTAATGAGAGTATCGTGTTCTATGGTAGTGAGAGTCCCTGATAATATTGTAATGAAAGTATCGTGTTCTGTGGTAGTGAGAGTCCTTGATACTATTGTAAAGAGAGAATTGTGTTCTGTGGTAAAAGTCTCTGATACTATTGTAATGAGAGTATTGTGTTCTGTGGTAATAAAAGTCTCTGATACTATTGAAATGAAAGTATCGTGTTCTGTGGTAGTGAGAGTCCCTGATACTATTGTAATGAGAGAATTGTGTTCTGTGGTAATAAAAGTCTCTGATACTATTGGAATGAAAGTATCGTGTTCTGTGGTAGTGAGAGTTCCTGATACTATTGTAATGAGAGTGTCGTGTTCTTTGGTAATAAAAGTCTCTGAAAGTATTGATGATTTTTATATTGTGGTATTGAGAGTTTTAACAGTGTGATATTGAGAGTTCCTCACATTCCTTGACTGGGATTTCTGATACTGTTGTAATGAGAGTTGTTGGTACTGTGTTATTGAGAGATTCTGATACAGTGCTATTGGAAGTTTTGAGCACCACTTTAATAATTAAAGGTATTCAATATTGTGATATTAAGAATCTATATAAATATCATAGTACTGTCTGTTGTATGTCCATGTAACTACTTCACAGGGCGTGGATGGATCTTTACCAAAATTGGTAGGGAGGTTCAGTAGGTTATATGTAGGGGTACATACAACTTTTCAGTTTTGCATTTTGCGGTTTTTATGGGCGTTTTGTACAACTACTTCACCCCCTGTTTATGGATCATCATCAAATTTGGCATGAAGGCTTGTTGGGTCCATGCGAAGATACCTGGAAATTTGCGGTTTCACATTTTGTGTTTTCCAGTTTTTATTGGCTTTGTTTTTTACTCTTACGCATAAAGGAAGCAGCTTTTCATGTCTTAAGATAACTTTTCGTTAATCATGAATTTGTATAACTTCCGTCCAGGGGACGAGTACTCCAGCTAGTAATTAATGTTGTAATATTCATCATGTAGTGATGAAAATTTCTGGTACTGTGTCAATGAAAGTTTCTGATTTTGTGCTATTGAAACTTTTTGGTACGAATGTAATGAGAGTTTGTAATCCTGAGCTGCACAAAAGTATCTGATACTGTGACAATGAAAGTATCTGATACTGTGACAATGATAGTTTTTAATAGTGTTGTAATCACATTTTCGGACTGTGTGCTATTGGAAATTTTTGGGTTCATCGTACTGAGAGTTTTTAATATCATGATACTAAGAATTTCTAATGTTGTGGTGATAATAATTTCCAGTACTGTTTAGTTAGAGACTGTTGGATGCTACAGTATTTAATATTGCTAATAGTATAGGGTTTTGATACTGCAATAACGGAGTTAATTATACTGTAATAATTAACTTATGATGCTGAAATAATGATAGTTTCTGATTCTGTACTATCGAAAGTTTTGGTAACACTATTTTAATAAGTGTATTTCACGTTATAATATTAAAAGTGTTGTGTGCCATTGCAATAAGTTTTTGTTACTGCGTTAATGAGGGTTTCTGATTCTTTTATTATTGAGTGTTTATAATACATAGGTTATTGGTAACCTTGTTAAATTTTCTGGTTCGTTGGTACTGGAAATTTGGATACTGTGATAAAGAGAGATTCTAATACTGCGGTGTGGAAGGTTTTGGGTGCTATGTCATTGAGATTTTCTGGTTAAAAGATCAACAGAATCTCCTTAATTAAACTGAAACTCGCAATACTTTTAACGTAAATAATTTACATTTAATTTTCAGGTGTATTTAGCATGTTTTCAAAGGGAAATATCCGTGTTACTGTAAAATGTGAAGAAGAAAAGCTCACTTGTAATGTTTGTTATACACTAGCTGTTTCACAGTAATTGTCTTCAAAAAAGTTTGGACAACGATTAAACTGTTATGGTGATTTATGATCACTATTTCTCACTGTATTCCAAAAACAAAAAAAATGGCTCTAGTAGGATAAAATGATGTTACTTCCTCCCTCCTCCCACTGTATGAAAAATTATTTGAATCGTCTTATTAGATGATGAGAGTTACGAGTAAGTATATTTTGTAGTTGAAAAATTGTGGTGAACAAGAAGTGACCCAGATATTTATAGTTACTGCTCGTCATTAGGCGTAGGTTTTTTTTTTTGGTTTTGTTTTGTTTTTTGGAATAAATTTCTGGATCATTTAGTACGCAGAAAAAAATTACTCCTAGCGTCACCTGATATTGCATATTGATATTAATTGCACTGTGTAGACAATAATGATTTTCTAGGTGCCTTGCTGCTATCGGAATTACTTCTTCCATTACTGATCATACTCATTCATTATGGACTATTGCTCAACACAGTAATTTCCATTATAAAAACTTTCTCCGATGGATAGCGAAGTAGGTCTTATGCTGTATTCCTGCTTTAGAGTAACTATGGCAAAAAGTAAAACACCTCTACATCTGCATAAAGAGTTTCTTCAATGATTTCTTTGAATGGAATGTCATTTGCGAACAAGAAAGGAAATAAAAGAAACAGACAAGTTTG